TTTTGTTTCTTTTTTTTCTTAGGTCAAGAAAGGTTCAGGGAAGGCAGGGAAAATACAGTCCAGGCAGTATCAGGCAGTCTGAAGACTCCCAATCCACTCTCTAAACGCTGGGAGGAGTGAGGAAGCAGACAGGCACCCCTTTCACTGGCCAACAGTTAACTGAAAGTTCAAATTTTGCACTTTCCCTGCCTCCCACATGGTTTTTTTTCAGTTCTTAACTCAAATCTAAGTATGTAAGTCAAGTCAATATTTTCTTATGAGAGTGGTTCTTAAGTCAAAATGTTCTTAACTCAAGCCGTTCTTAAGTCAAGACCTCACTGTACTAAAAACAGATTGACAAGCAACAAAATATAAATCCATTTATTGTCTCCTAGACAGTCATTCTTTAAGAGAAAGCCTGCCTGAAGAGAAAGGTCTTTGCCTGCTTGCAGAAGGACAGCAAAGATGGGGCCAGCCTCCTGTGGGAGGGAGTCCCAGAGTCTGAGAAATTTTCTGTCTATAAAATAGAAAGGAAATAAAGATATGGTCCTCAGACTTAAGCAAGGACTATGGTACAAACTTCACTCACTCACACACAGAGAGAGATTGAGGGAGAGTATTGTGGGTCCTAGGTAAAAACAGGGCACCATGAACATAAAGTCACACCTTGAGTTTAAGATGTTTTCATTCCTTATATACAGTATATACTGAGACAAACAGAATATATTCTGTTTATATATATGTCCGTGCCCCCTTGCAAATTATTTTGATTCCATAAACTAAAGTTATATTCTGCTTGTCTCAGTCCTTCTGAGGATGTGGCTGTGGAATTACCACAGTGCTTAGTGACTTAGTTAACATCAAGTAAGAGGGAGCCCTGCTTTCTGTGAAGGGTGGCCCACGCTGTAATTATAATTACTTTCGCTGTTGGATGTGCAATGCCCACTCCACCCTTTTTTTCCTCAGAGTTTCTTGCTTATTTTAAATTTGTATTGAGTGCCCTCTTGTGTTGTTCTGATGTTACTGGACACGTACAAGACCGAGTTTGTTCTAAACGTCATGTGGAACGAATGCAAGTCTATAAATAATGAGAGACTTAACTAGGAATACACATTGGTCCCACCCCTACTCCTACTGGGTGCTCTCCAGAGCTTGTTGACTATGACTCCCAGAATTCCTGACCACTGACCTTATTGCCTGGGGCTACTGCACTCTAAAAGAGCTGGACTGTCTGAAGTTGGGATGTCCTTATACCATGCAAAGGAGGGATGGGCAACCTATAGCGTTTGATCTAATTTCAAAAGCCTTCACAAGAGAGAGAGAGAGACTTTAATTTCTTTGGTTATTATATATTATTTGTGGATTTATGAATTTATTGCAGTTTTAATGTATTTAATATTTACTGATGTTTGCTCTGCTGTTTTTAATTTTTACTCATATAAGGATCTTTTATTAATTTTACTGTATTTTAGTCTGCAGCTTGCTTATTCCTTTGTTTGTTTAGTATTATTTGTAAGCCCTCTTTCTCCCAGTGAGGGGATACAAAGTGGCTCAAGATGTTAAAACAAGTTTTTTAAAAACACAATAAAATATAGATTTAAAAGAAATTAAACTACAATAATAATTACTGTATTTTTCCATGTATAAGATGCCATCTTTTCCTAAAATCATTACATTAAAAATTGAGGGGTGTCTTATACACAGAAGTAAGCCGAGAACACGGAGAGTAGCTTGCCTCTGCAAACAGGCTTCCTTCAATCACGAGGCTTACCTTCCTACAGTCAGGAGACTTAGCTTCCTCCAATCACGAGCCTTATGGAACTGAGGTCAGCTGATGCTGAACAAACTAACTGGAATATATCTTGTTGGAGGTGGAGCCTGTAGGCTCAGATGCAACAGGGACTGATAATGTCCGAGCATTCTGAGCCTAGAGGCTGAATACTCAAAGCTTTCTTAATGTGGGGGTTAGAAAAATGGAGGGGGTGTCTTATAAGCAGGGGTATCTTATAAATGGAAAAATACAGTAAAAATCTATTGAGCATTGTAAAACATTTTTAAAATTTAAAGACACTTTAAAGAGCAGGACCAGTATCCAGGGACTCAGTCAGTTATTAAAAGCCTGCCTGAAGCGATAGATGGTCAATTGTTGGTGGGAGGATAAAAGGGAGGTGGGCCAACTCAACTCTTTGAGGAGAGCATTCCACAACCAGGGAGCAGCCACAGAGAAGGATCTCTCTCATGTCCCTATCAAATGCAGCCTATTATGGCAATAGAGCTGACAGCAGTTCCTCCTCTGCAGGACTTCAGGGCTGAGAAGACTCATATAGGGAGATGTGGTCCACACAGCTTGGACCCAAACTATATAGAGCTTTAAAGGCAGGGCAGACCTATGCTTCGAGGGCCTGTCTTTCAATTGACCAGGAGCACTTCTGTCTTGTCTAGAATAAATTTCAATTTGTTTGCTGCCCTCTAGCCCATTACTAACACCAAGGACTGGTTTAGAACTGAGACTTCTTCCTTCGAATTAGATGAAGAGAAAGAGTTGGATGTCATCAGCATATTGGTGACACTGGACCCCAAAACTCCAGACAGTCTCTCCCAGTGGTTTCCTGTACATGGTAGACAGCATGAGGGACAAAACAGAACCCTGAGGGATGCCATGCTAAAGCATAGAATATGAGTCTCCCAGCATTACCCTCTGAGTCCTCCCCTCCAGGAAGGACAGAGCCACTGTAATACATTGCCTCCAAGTCCCATTCCAGAGAGGTGGCCCAGAATGAACAGGGCCACATTCCCCTGGCCTAGTTCCCAGCACAAGCCATACATCAAGGTGAACCAAAGCACTCTCCATCCTGGGCCTGAAGCCAGATTAAAATGGATCTAGATAATCCACTTCACTCAGGAATCCTTGAAGCTGAAAAACCACCACACAGTCCAGAAATTGAATATTTAAGACTGGCTGATAGTTCGCCAATAAAATGGTATTTCAGGAGAGCTTTTTCAATAACGACCTTACTGTTGCCTCCTTTAAACATGCTGGGATCCTGCCTTGCTACAAGGAGGCATTCACCACTCTTCTCATCCACTCAGCTATTCTCCCTCTGGCTCCTTCTATAAATCAGGAAGGGCAAGGGTCTAGTACACATGTGGTGGTTTTCAGCTCTCCAAGAATCATGTCCACATCCCCAAACTGCATCAACTGGAACATATCCATGGTAACAGAACAAGCAGGAACCAAAGTTACACCCACAGGACCTGTTACAACTACTGCATCCAAATTAGAGTGGATCTGAGTGACTTTGCCAGCAAAGGCAATTCCTCGTAGTGGGTTGCTGAGTGTTCTTTTGCTGGGGCATTTATTAGGCCCTGACAACTCAAAATAAGTCTGCTGGACATCTGTGAAGATGCAGCGACAGCAGAGCAGAATCCTTTCTTCACTGAAGCAACTGCCAAAGAATAGGCCTTCTAATGAGAGTTGGATTTGCTCTGTATTTTCTGCTATCATTGCTGTAGTCTAGGAAAACCAGAGAACTCATCTGGCTCTACTCCTTGGGAGAGGACCTGTGGGAGTGATTGTGTCCACAGCCTTGGTCATTTCCCAATTCCAGAGGTTAAGTAGGACTTTGACTGGACCACCTGCCAAGATGGCATAAAACTCCCCAAGAACAGTCAGGAAACCATTGAGATTCATCTATCCATGACAATGGAACTACAGAGAGTCCCTCCACACCCAGATCACCACCATCTGGCCCAGCATAGAAAGACTAGGTCCACGGTGTGCCCTGCAGCATGAGTCGGGCCAAATACCACTTGGGACAGACCCATGGTCGTCATACAGGATGTGAAGTCCTCAACTATTCCTCATAAGGTGGCCTTGGCATGGATATTGAAGTCCCCCTGTAGTACAAGCCTAGAGAACTCCAGCATCACCTTGAAGATTAAATCAGCCAGTTCTGGAAGGGAGACTGTTGGGCAGCAGGGTGGGTGGTACATGACCAACAGAATCCCCAAGCAGTCCTGAGCACTATAGATTGGTTGAAGAGCATCAGCTATACAGCAATTCATGTATTAAATAAACAAACAACAATTCACAATTGCTCAAGGTCACCCCTAACTATACAGAAACTTATTTTGGACCATTAACAAGCCATTTGGGCAGCTGGGGCACTTAACACAATCACCCACCCACTCTGGCTGTTTTCATGGCCTTCACAATCACCACCACCACTCTGGGGAAAGAAGAGAATGCCCACTCCCAAAGAAAGTTGTCCGGGGAAGTGGACTTCTCCATGAAAGCTCACTTTGAAAGATAGCAATTTGTCTTTAAGATACCACACCAATTTTGTCTTCATTTTGTTTGCTTGCTTTTGCCTGATACCCAAAGTGTATTCTTCATACATACACACACAAAGGAGATGTCATTTATTTTCCTAATGTTCATCAGTAGATTCACCTCAGTGCCCTCAACATTTTGATGCCAAAACTCCAGTTGCTGCACCCTGCTTACAGCCCTGCACTTGGTGCTCATGCAAGAGGGGTACATTCGGTGTAAGACCATCTCATGATTGATTCTCAGCATGAGCACCTATTGACTACTCCAGTGCTTAGGATGACACCACTGGCAACCTTCTACGCTTTGTGTATTTAGTTATTTGCATATTTTTTTAATTTGTTTGCCTGCTACAGCTGAAGGATGGTTTGCAGTGCAATATCATGATGTGGAGAACAAAAAAGGTCAGCCATTCATTCCATTTCTTTCGTGCTGAAGCCCCACTGGTGCTAAAGAAGCCTTCAAAGTAAATACGTGACTTCGTGTATAATATACACAGGACTACCTTCCTAGTAGTAATTGGCAGATGCGACCTGCAGCTGTGTGCAAGCACAACCAGATTAACACTGCCGTTCACCGCTGGCAACACTAATATTAAATAGAACTCGTTGTATTAACCAGTAGATGTCAGCACTCAACAAGCACTGATCTAATAAATCGCTATTACTTCTGCAATAAAAGATCGCTGTCACATTGGAAAGGCTCCTCCTGTACCAGAAGGGCGCGCATCGCTTCCCTTTACTGTTTTGGTCCTTCTCGAAGGCCGTAGCCCAACCCCTCCCCAAGGAACCGGATTTTAAGTGCCCGGATACGGAAGTGCTTTCTCTTTTTTTTCTCAGGCGGTTTAGCTGGTACGTTGAGCGTCTCGGTAAGCGGCGGTTAGGATCTGTTGCCATCCGTAGCCACAGGTTCTTGCGAGGAACGGCTGGGGGGGTAGGGAAGGCGCAGGGGGCGGTGAGGAGCGCCACGGTGTGGGTTTGGGGCCCCAGAGAGGAAGGCAAGGGCGGCGGGGAAACTTCGCCGCCGGTTCTGGCCAGTCCCAACTGAATCTGCCATTTTGATTTCCCTCCTAGGCAGCCGTCGCCAGGATCCGTCGCCATGGTGAGTACGGTGGGGGGGGTGGATGAGGGAAGGGGCGATCTTGGGCTGTATACAGTCTAGAGCAGAAGGGAATCCGCCGGCAGAAGTTTGAGTGCATGTTTTTAAGTCAGAATCCCTCCACGTGTGGATGACTGAACCCTGATGTTTATACCGTAGGGTGGTAGGGGGATATGCAGTGCATAGACTCCTGTGTTTCAGTTGCAGAAAAGACTGCAGTGGCTTTGCGCGCCCTAACAAGTGTGATTCCCTCTGATGGTAACCCAGTTTTCTTTCCCTCTGAGAAGCCACATAAATTTGTGCCGGTTTGGGAGGGGGAGAGATTGGCAGGTAAAAGTTGGTGACTCTTCAAGCAGCAGCAGTTAAGCAGCCACTTCCCCCCTCTAGAGGAAAAGGATGGAAAGTTCTTTCATATTATTTTCTGCTAGTGTGCATGCAGTTTAGGTACTGTCTGTGTATTGTGTTTTGTATTGTATTGGAGAGTCAGATTTAGCACCAAAGGAAATACTAACTGGGATGCAAAACTAGAAATTGAGTATATACTTAGAACTGCGCAGGACCCGGCATCTCCATTCAGGATCTCTAATTGTTAGGGTTTGTCTCTAATTGTTGCAGCCTCGCAAAATTGAAGAGATCAAGGACTTTCTATTGACAGCTAGGAGGAAAGATGCAAAATGTGAGTAGTGACTTCTGGCTTTTGTGTTATCTGTGTTGTTTGATATCTGCTCCAGAGTTTTTTTCCATCTTGGGTACCTGCTGAATATCATCTGATAATTAAAACACCATTCTGTGTGAGTGAGGTTCAGTCATTGCAATTCCTGAAGCTTGTCCCAAGATTGCAGGTTGAATCAGTTGTTAGTACCAATAAGAGAAAGCCCATTAAATGAAGAGGATTTAAGTCAACACTCAGATGTCAGATAGTTTTACTATAGTTCGGTCTGGTGATTAGATTCAACTCATTATCTTTTTATAGAAAGGACTGCAATCTTGTAAGTGACCAAGCTCTCATTGGGGAAGCCATCTGTGAAACTTGCACACTAGTTTCCACGTTTGACTAGTTGTGCCTTATTCAGGTGTTTGTTTATTTATTTATTTATTTATTTTATTTCTATCCCGCCTATCTGATCATATTAGACCACTCTAGGCAGCTTACAGTAAAAACAACAATGTAATTTTAAAACTTTACAGCAGAAACGTAAATTAAAAAAAATAAAGAACAGAATAAGAAAAAAGATCGTCAAGGGTTTTCTGTGGGGAAGGCCCGCCTATACATCAATGTTTTTAGTTGTTTCTTAAAAATGCCCAGCGAGGGAGCCGCGCGAATCTCAGGGGGCAAGTTGTTCCAAAGGCGAGGAGCCACCGCCGAGAAGGCCCGGATTCTGGTCTTTTCCTTTCGGGCCTCTCTCGGCGTTAGGCTCCTCAGCCTTATCTCCTGGCTCGCGCGAGTGACACGGGTAGATCTAGGTGGGAGAAGGCGTTCCGCCAAGTATCGAGGTCCTAAACCATTTAGGGCTTTGTAAGTAAGCGTTAACACTTTGAAATCAATGCGGAATCGGATGGGCAGCCAATGCAATGCGGCCAGAGGGGGGGAGATATGTTGGTATCTTCTCAGCCCACTGAGTAGTCTGGCCGCCGCATTCTGCACCACCTGTAGTTTCCGCAGCAATCTCAAAGGTAGCCCCACGTAGAGCGCATTACAGTGGTCTAATCTCGAGACTACAAGCGCATGCACCAGAGTGGTGAGAGACCCCACATCAAGGTAGGGCCGCAGCTGGGCTATCCGCCTGAGATGGAAAAAAGCGGAACGGACCACGGACGCCACCTGGGTCTCCATGGTGAGCGCCGGGTCAAGATGGACACCCAAGCTACGGACCCCATCCCTGACGGGCAGGGTCACCCCCCCAAAAAATGAGGGAGTTTCCCATGTCCCCAGGTGTGGGGGCGCCCACCCTCAGTACCTCCGTCTTGTCCGGGTTCAGCCTCAGCCCGTTCTCCTGCATCCATTCCTGTACAGCCTCCAGGCAACGCCGAAGGGACAGAACGGCATCTCCTGCAGTTGGAAAAAAGGAGATGTAGAGCTGTGTGTCATCCGCATATTGATGGCACTGCGCTCCATACCTCCTGATGACCCCTCCCAGCGGCCTCATGTAGATATTAAACAGCATTGGGGAGATGATCGATGCCCCTTTTGCCCTTATTGCTGTTGAAATCATGATAATGGAAAAGCTGTAGATCTTAAAGTAGCTTAAAGCTTCTGGAACTGTGGCCTTGTTTGCAAAACTGATAATACAGTACAAGTAAAGATACATATATGATGTAGGCACACTTTAATGATGGTTCCTGGCTAGATCTAGAAATGTAAGCACCCTTGAGCAGAGGGAAACACATTGTGTCAGATGCCTACCTTCCCTATGGAACTTTGTATTATTTTGCAAAATTGCAGGGTTTAATTTTTTTGTAAAGTTCTGACTTCTAAAAAAATCCAGGGTTTTTTTGTGGTATGTTCAGTGGCCACTTAACGTGTTTTCTGTATTAGCAAGCAGTTTACTCTAGAACAGTGGTCAGAGAACAGGGGTACCTTACCCCAAATGGGGTAAAAATGAAAATCCTGGGGGTAATGAGGACAGTCGTGGCAGGCATTTTACCCCTAGGCATTTTATTTCCAACTATGCTGTGTGTAGGCGGGTATTCTGTTGCTGGGAGGGAGAGCCCTGGTGAGGAACTGCACAGGGCATCCGCCTGCCCTTCTCACCTTCATAGTGGGGGAGGGGGAGGACGGCGTACCAGGCCAGCTGGACTCTTTGCCCAGCGGAGCCCTGGCCGGGGCTGTCCTTTCTGCTTGCACCCAGCCGCCCGGTGCACTGGTGAGGAGACCCCCTTCCCACCCCACCTCACCTGAACTCATGGATCCTGTGGTGCCTGCCTCCCCTCGCCAAAGACACACTTTCCCGGCAGTATGGCAGCTCCAGACTGGCTGCCCAGGCACTGGCCACAGGTCCCAGGTGAGCGCAGAGGCGGGGGGGTCAGCCACGGACGGCGAGAGCTGGGGGGGTAATGTCAATGTATCTAAATTGGGGGGGAAGGTAAAAAAGTTCCCTGACCCCTGCTCTAGAACAAAAAGTTTTTTTAATTTATTTTATTCACTTTGGTTTTATCAATTCCACACTCCCAGTGAGTTTCCATGACTGAGTGGGGATTCAAACCCAGGTCTCCTGACTCATAGTCCATTGCGCTATCCACTACACCCAAGTCCCATAAATCTCAGATGGTGGGAGATGATGGTCTTAAAATTAAGTAAGTTTGTGTGATTCGAAGCAATCCTTGAAGTAATCAGATAATGAACAATTAAAGGTCAAAATCATCAATTTTAGTTGAACCTACAAATGAATTGGTGAGCAAGAGTGTGGCGATCCCCTTTGAAGCCCCTTTTCTCTCAGGTCTTCACGAGGTTCTCGCTCTTCTTTCTTCGCTGCCACCAAGTATTGCTGCTTCAATACCATTCAATCAAGGAGACACGTGCTATAAATGCAGTTTCCAATATTTCATCTTTACATAGTTTGGGTTCTCTTATCTAATCTTGTCCACATTTCCTTTAAAGGCAGCCTAAAAATAATGTTATCTGAATAAATAATAATAAAAGTGTAGAATAGAGCATTAAGCTTTGTGGCTTTCTCTAGTAGTAGAGATAGGGATATCCATAAATGAATATGAATATCCCTGTCCCAGCTGGGACCAGACTGTCCACTCATGTATCCCGACGCTATGAAGGTCCCGCTCTTCCTGCCAGTGGTGCCTGGAGCTCTGCTATCTTCCTGCTCAGCTGGCCACTCCAAGTAGGGGGCGGGAGGACGAGTCTCCCCGCACAGCTGCTAAGTGGCCAACCAAGCAGGAAGACAGTGGAGCTCCGTTGGCAGGAAGCGTGGGACCTTCACAGTGCTGGAACATATGAGTGGACAGTCCAAGCCTCGGGCTGGACCCTCATTAGGTCCAGCTGGGATGGGAATATTCATAAATGAAAACAAATGTCCTAATCTCTAGTAGAGAACCAATGTATGATGTCTCTAGCTGTGGTCACATTGACATAGAATGATGAGCCAGATTTCGATCTTCACAATGCGGGTTTTCCCCATTGCGAAGATCGGGTATGTTTCCGTATAGCAATCCCGAAAAAGGGATCGCTATACGGAAACATCGCTATATGGTGCACTCGTTAAGCGAGGCACCACTGTATTCATAAATGAAAACAAATGTCCTCATCTCTAGTAGAGAACCAATGTATGATGTCTCTAGCTGTGGTCACATTGACATAGAATGATGAGCCAGATTTCTGTAGAATTCTGACTGGTTGTGTGCAGTTCCACATGGTAGTTCACTAGCTCTGAAATAATACAGGCCAGTGCAGTGAGAGAGCTCCACAGTGAGTTCACTAGTAAAAATTGTGTGCGTCTGTACATATCCTAAATTGTATTGTTTGTGTTCAACATTTTGTTTAGGATATACACCATCTGAATAACCTTTTTAATGTACAATCTAGCAGTGGTATAACAATGAGCAGTCAGTTAGATCAGGAACAAGAAGAGTTGTTGTCACTGGTGCGTGAAGTGGCATTGAACAGTGTTATGTTCAAAGGTAAATAGCGAAATTGGTATCTGGTATATCAGCAGAGGAGTGTCAGCTGCCTTCTTTTTTAATAAGACTTTCAAATATTGTATCACATTGTAACAATGCAATTGTGCAGTAGTTTTACTTGCATATAAGCACTGATGAAAAAGTTTATTTCAAGATTAATACGTGGCGAATGCATCTTTCATAGAAACGGAACCAAAACAAGCCTGCTTATACAGATGTCACTTCTAACTGCTATGCTTATCATAGGATGAAGCAGAATTTATTGAAGCCCTTCTCTCAAAAGCAATTGTATCATATTAGATCCTGATTCTTTTGTGTTTTTGAATTAGCCTATTGAGCTGCCAAGCACGTAGTGCTAACCTCAGTGTTCTTGCATTGTAGCTGTCAAGATCAAGAAGAACAAAGATAATGTAAAGTTCAAGGTGCGCTGCAGCCGTTATTTGTACACATTGGTGATCACAGACAAGGAAAAGGCTGAAAAACTGAAGCAGTCTTTGCCACCAGGTAAGATGACTGAAGTATTGGGGGGG